GTGGTAAATCTTTATGGAAGTAGATTGCCCATCTTCCTTCTGTGGAGTGGCTGGTGGGTTTGAACAGCCAGTCTCCTGGTGAGCAGTCAAATTCCTTAGGCCCTGTGACACCAGAGCTCCTTTAACTCCTCATTGGACATGTCCAAAACCATAAAAACAATCTCCACTGCACCAGGTTGACTCTTAGGATTTCCAAGGCTATAAACCTTTGCTGAAGCAGACTGTCTCATTTTTCTCTTGCAGAATAGCTGGTGGGTTTGAACCACTGACCTTTAGTTAGCAGTTGAATGCTTTAACCCCTGTGCCACCAGGACTCCTTATATTGGACATATTGGGCTTGATTAATTGGGAAATTCAGTTCACATTGCACTGATGTTATTTTATTGTGTGAGAGAATTATTTTATTGTGCATCGTGAAGCACATGAAGTCCATTTACTTTGTTTGATGGCTGACTGCTCTCTTGGCCTCTAAGTCTCCTGCTTACCATTTTAGAGTCAAAGCCAAAGGTACAGAGGAGCCTAAGAGGCCCAAATGAATTGAGAGACAAATGAAGAAGCATTTTGTTTGTGTCAGTCTTATTAACCATGTCATTTTCTTAGTTTGCAATAAGAAAAAGAAAATTTTTGAGAAATACCTCTCTGAGCTCTGGTAGCATAGTGCTAAGGCACTTGACTGCTAACCAGAAGGCTGGTGGTTCAAACCTACCAGCCACTCCTCAGAAGGAAGGTTGGGCAATCTGCTTCCGTAGTTAGGCTGCCTCAGTAACCCAGAGAGGGGTCAGTATCAGTCAGGTCCAACTTGATAGCACATAACAACAACAACACCTTTATTGAAATTACTGCAGGAAAGATAAACACAAGACTGGATTTCTCTGTTGCATTAAAGGATAAAGGAGTATAAGTAGTGGAAGTAAAATTCATATATGTTCAACTAATGGCAACAGTTACTATTTATTGAACATTTACTGTGAGCTAGACGCTATGTGCATTTACATGTATTCATTTATTCCTCACATCTACTCCATGAGGTAGATAGGTTGCTTTTTTTTTTCCGTTTGATAATGGATGATTTATACTTAATTTGTTATACTGAGCAAAAAAGATTCAAAGCCAGTTCAAGCTTGCAATCATAGGCTCTTTGGTTCTTGAAGTCTTTTTTTTTCCCTCTTTATTTTTTATTGTGATGTAGGTGAAAGTTTACAGAGCAAATTGGTTTTACATTCAGCAATTCAACATTTTGTTTTGTGACACTCATTGCACTCCTCACGATGTAGTAGTAGTTCCTCCATGTGTTTACCCTTTCCCTTCATCCTTCTTTCCTATCCCTTCCTGCCTTCTCAGCTTTATCCCTGGGTAAATCCTGCTTTTTTGATCTTGTGTGATTGATTGTTCTAATGCATGCATACCTTCCTGGTATTGGTCACCTTATAAGCTTGTCTATTGTTTGGCTGAAAGTTGAGCCACAGGAATTGAGTTCAGTTCCTGGCTCAAAGCATGTCAAGGGCCATAGTCTCAGGAGTTCCACTAGTCTACATCAGACCAGTAAACCTGGCCTCTTTTGTGATCTTGAGTTTTGCTCCACATTTTCCTCCCACTCTATCTAGAACCTCCTATTGTGATTCCTTTCAGATCAGTCAGCGGTGGTAGCTGGGCACCATCCAGTTCTTCTTATCTCTTGGTCGTGGAGGCTCGGTTTCATGGGGTCCATTAGTCCCTTATATGAGTTGTTTCCTTGCATCTTTGATTTTCTTCACTCTTCTTTGCTCTGGACAGGGAGAGACTAATAGTAGCATCCTAGATGGTCACCCACAAGCTTTTAAGACCTCAGTCACTACTCGCCACAGTAGGATGCAGAACATTGTCTTTGTAGACTATTTTATGCTAATCGATCTTAGTATCCCCTGAGACTATGCTCTTGAGCCTTCATGCCCAGCACCTGATTCCCTCAGGGTCTTTGTTTATGACTGAGAAGTTTTCATAACTTTGCCCCTCACATGTGCTTCTGCATTCATGGATATATTTGCAGTACATATAAATATATCTGCAGAGATATCCTCTGTCAAACACATATATTTGTGGGGGTAGTCCCATTTGCCTTCCCACTGTTCATCTTGGGTGTCTTATTTATCCACTGGTAGGTTATTATTATCACAGGATTATGTATGTAATAGTAGCCACCTTTCCTGCCTTTAACTCTTAATGTTCCTCTCTGTGTTTTCCTCTGCCTTGATCATTCTGTGCTGACCTCTCCCTGCCTTTCCCTTCACCCAAGTCAACATGTATCTTCCCTCTAGGCAGTGATTTACCCTCCTCTACCATCCCACTCCTGGTAACCCTCCAAAAATGATAATATGTGTAAACCCTTTCTTGACCTTCTACAGAAGTGGTCTCATATAACATTTATTTTTCTGAGACTGATTAATTTCACTCGGCATAATGTCCTCCACGTTCTTCTCTGTCATGAGGCACCCCACAGTTTTACCGCCACTCTTTAATGTTGTGTAGGACTCCATTGTGTGCATGCACCACAGTTTGTCCGTCTATTCCATGAGGCAGTTTTATCAACGAGAACACAGTGGCACTGAGAAGTCAAGTAACTTGTTCAAGGTCATGTTATTGGATTAGCTTAGCCTGTAATCCAAGCAGTCTGGCCTTGAGACATACCTCTTCACCACATTTTCTTGCTCATGCACCTTTACTTCAGTAAAAGATGTCCTTGATTTCCTCTGACACAGACCAGCAGCAAGTTAATTGTACTGATCAAGTTTTTTGGTGCACTTTATTATGTTTAAGATGATGTATTTTGCAATAATTATATTCCATCCCCAAGTATGTAATTATACATCTCTAAAAGGTAAGAAGAACATGTTTTTTTTTTTTTTTTAATTGTGATTGGGGTGAAAGTTTGCAGAGCAAATTCACTTTCCATACAGAAGCTCATATATACTTTGTCTCATGACATTGACTACAGTTTACCAGAATACAACAGCTCCCCTCTTACTTCCTCCCCATACTCCTCCCTGTGTCCTTCCCTCCATGCACTCCTGCCCCCTAAGCTGTCTCCCTATGCATACACAGCCCTTCTATTCTCCCATGATTGTTCTCTTCAAGGAATGTATCTATCTAATATAAATGTCTACCTCATATGCCTGTCTTTTGAAGAACATGTTCTTACATAGCTAAAATAATATTATGGTACTTTAAAAAATCAGTAATTTTAAAATATTTTCCTACACAGCCCAGTTTACTACAGAATATCCCTTCCCATAGTTCCAAACTATGAATCTAATCTTGAATCTATAGTACGTATGATTGTTGTGTCCTTGAAATCTTTTACTCTAGGGTAATCCTTTTTTCCCCCCCTTCTTTACAAAACTGCCTTGCTGAAAAGAAACTGAACCCATGTCCTACAGAATATCCCACCTACTGCATTTACCTGATTACTTCCTTGTAGAATCATTTGGCTTATTCCTCTACCCCTATATTTTCTGTAATTGGAAGTTAGATCTAAAGGCTCAATTAGAATTAAGTTAAATATTTTTTTACCAGAATACATAAAAGATGATCTTACTTTTGTTCTGCATCCCATCAGAAGAAAAAAATTGAGGAATAGGGTCTTAATAACAAAGGTATTTGAAATGTAGACTGATACAGAATATAAGTACGGGTAGTCCCTGACTTACAGGAGTATTTAAGTTACAGCAAATTACACTTAACCATCTTTTTTTTTTTTTTGTACTTCTTATCATCGGAAGAAAGATGGGGCAATCTACTTCTGTAGTGATACTGCCTCGGCAACCCAAGGAGGGGTCGCTATGAGTCGGGTCCGACTCGACAGCACAACAACAACAACAACTTCTTATCATTAGTAATATGTACTTCATACATTGTTGGAGCACATAATCTGATATTATCATTCTCAGATGTTCAATGTTATGATTTGTAAAGATACTGGTAATATAAAATATAATATATATAATAGAGAAAAGGGGTATTTGATTTACATAAGAAATGACAACAAGGTCATTGGAATAGAAACCCATTGTAAGTTGGGGACTATGTATATTGCTATTATAGATGATGATGGGTCGTATGTTTTAAAGCTTATCCTGTCCACCCCTCTACAGACACATATTTCCCTGCCTAAGTCTGTTGAATTGGACTATATATGTACATTAGAGATAGACTAGAGGTCAAAGCGACCTATACCTTAGTCTCATTTCCCTAATTCTAAACCTTCTGCTCTACCCTCCTTTACCCTGAATATACCTGATGCTCACTAGACTTGTTGAGTGCAGCATACCCCCCAACTTGACCATACCAGTCACAAGGAGACAGTACTCAAAAGACTGGTAACCAAGAGAGATATGATCCACCAGATTAACTAGGAGCTTACTCCTTAGCACAGCTTAATCATTTGTCCTCACAGACTGTTTTGGTCTTGGTGCAGATCAGAGCTTTTCATTCTTAGAGGTGAAATTGGGCCTTTAGCATCCCTAGAATGGGCCCCTTGATGAATCTGATGACAGTTATAGAACCTGTTCCCAGAAAAATTGTACAAATTGGCTCACAAAAAATTTTACATGCTATTTAAATTGCTGACGATCACAAATGTACCTTTCCCAAGGATTTTCTTATATGGCTGACATTCTCTGACACTTTATTTTTCCATCTGTTAATCTCAGGGAGTATCGCTGTCTTAGAAAAGAGGGCACAGTATCAAAAAAGACCCAACTGAAACCATAGCATTCAGTTTCAGATAAACAAAATCATAATTTTTCAGAAATGTGAGTATGTTTTATCAACTACAGCTCAGTGGCACATAGTAAGTACTTCTACAAGATTTCTTTTTAACAAAATGGTATAGTACGTATGTTCTATGTTTTTACATTTTGAAAATACATGTAAAAATTCTTATACTTTAATTTTTTATATCAATATCAACTTATATAACTCCTTCATTTTTCTTACTGTATTGTTTCATTTTTTTGTTTTTATAGTGTACTCATTGCCTTCAAGGAAGCTAGTGGCTCTTCAGTTAAGATCCATTTTTATCAAGGTTAGTATTATGTTTTAACTCCCTTCCCCTAAAATAGTGCCTTGTACATGGAGAAACTCTCAGGAAATATTTGTTGAATGGATTATTCAGAATGACTAAGGAGCCATTTGTTCAGGAGATCAGAAATAAGGGGTTTTAATAGCACAGTTATTACTTTTTTTTTTTTAACTTTTTATTGTGATTTGGGTAAAATTTTACAAAACAGATTTGTTTTACATTCAACAGTTCATACATATTTTGTGATACTGGTTACATTCCCTGCAGTCTCCTCTCTGTGTCCCTGTGTTCTTCTTGCCTATGTATTCCTGCCTCCCTACCTCTCTCCCTGTATAAATGTTACCCTTCTAATCTCCCATAGTTGATTTTTCTAGGGAGTGCATCTCCCGGGGTAGGTGTTCAGCTTGTAGACCTGTCTATTGTTTGGCTGAGAGTTAAGCCACAGTAGTGACTTGAGTTCCAGGCCCAAAGGGTGACTCAAGGCCATAGTCTCAGGATTTTCACCAGTCTATCAGACCAGTAAGCCTGATCTTTTTTGACTTTGAGTTTTCTTCGATATTTTTCTTCCACTCTATCCAGGATCTCCAATTTTGATCCCTTTCTGAGTGCTTGACATTAGTAGCCAGCTACCATCCAGTTCTTCTGGTCTCAGGGTCAAACTACAAGTTTGAGGTTCTCATGGTTTATTAGTACTTTGTCAAAGATCAGCTGTCAGTATGTGGATGGATTTATTTCTGGATTCTCAATTGTGTTTGACTGGTCTGTGTGTTTTTATTTATGTGTAACATACATAGAGAAATGTGCGCATGTCTTTAAGTGCATAGCTTGATGAATTTTCACAAAGTAAACACTTCATTGAGTCCAGCCTTCAAATCAAGAAATAGAATATTTCCAACTTTCCAAGCCCTGCTCGATGCTTCGTCTCAAGCATTACTTACTTAAATGAAATCTGAGGGTATGTGTTCCTTCATTGTCTTTCTTTGTTCAACATTGTGTTTGTGAGATTCATCCATGTTATATGTGTACTTCATTTTCACTTGTATATGTTACTCCATTGTATGGATAAATTTTAATTTATCTGTTGTACTGTTAATAGTGCATTTGATTTTTCTGGTTTGAGGATATAGGGTGTAGTGCTGTTATGGTTATTTTTGATACTTAATGTCACTCTTTTCTTTAGTTAATGGTGTCATACCCAAAGTTTTCCAATGAGAATTGCTAGCATTTTTATATTGTGCCATGTGGCTTTTTTGTTCTCTTCCTAATACCAGCATAAGTTAAAGAATTAAGACTCAAACACTTCTAAATGAAATTTTTGTTGGGCAAAAATAAAGAATAATTTTTAAAGTAGTGGAAAACATTTATTGGGCATTGATTCTGTACACCAGTACTATTCTAAGCACCTTATATTTATGATTGTATTTAATCTTCTAAACAATCCTATTAGGTAGATACTGACATTATCCTCATTTTATAAATGAGAAAACTGAAGTACACAAAGGGTAAGTAATTTGCATGAGACATCGGATTCATAGCAAGTGGCACCAATATTGTAATCTAGGCAACCTGCCTCTCAACTACTGCACTATAAAAGTTAGCCCTTTCCTTACATGCATTTCAAATCTTACTGAGTAATTATCTTAATAGTCTGGAGTTTCCATAAAGTGGGTTTTCTACCAGATATTTTATAACCCACATTCCATATTCAGTAGCTGTTAATGTCTTGCCATACCTGCTTGATTCTCTCTCTCTCTCTCTCTCTGCATATGCACAGCTTACTTCTCCCAAACAGTCAAAAGTAGTCTAGAAGCATCATGTCATTTTACCCTTGAATACTTCAGCACACATCTTTCAATATCAGAGGTATTCTCCTGCACAACTACAACACTTTTACCACACCTTAGAAAATCAACATGTGGTATTAATTAGTATCATTCATTCTACTTGAATCAACAGTCAGTCCCCATGGAAGCAGCAGTCAGGAAATGAAACCATTGCATTGGGCATATATTCAAAAGACCTCCAAAGTGTTAAAAAGCAAAGATGTCACTTGGATAACTAAGGTGCACCTGACTAAAGCCATGGTGTTTTCAGTCACCTCATATATATGTAAAAATTGTACAGTGAAAAAGAAAGATCCAAGGAGAATTGATATATTTGAACTGTGGTGTTGGCGAAGAATATACCATGTCAGAAGAATGAACAAATTCATCTTGGAGGAAGTACAATTCCTTAGAAGTGATGATGGTGAGACTTCATCTTGCTTGCTTTGGACATGTCATCAGGAAAGACCATTCACTAGGAAAGGACATGTTTGGTATAGTAAAGGGTCAAGAAAATGAAGGAAACCTTCAGATGTGTTGACACAGTGGCTGCATCAGTGAACATACCAAAACATTGTGAGGGATGGCATAGGACCAACCAGTGGTCTGTTCTGGTATATATCAGGTGACACAGCAACTAACAACAATCATCTAACATATCCTTACTTCCCCAGTTGTCCCCAAAGTGTCCTTTATAATTGTTTGCTTCAGGTGAGGATCCAGTCAAGGTTCACATTTTGCATTTGGCTGTTTCATCTTTTTAGTTGGTATCCTTCAGTTTAAAACCAGCATTCTGTCACTTTCTTTTCTTGATTGCTTGCTGCAATCTGTATTCATATCATTGTTTCTTCATGATCAGATTCAGGTCAAAAGTTTCTGGTAATATCTTACAGATGACCATGTGGTGGTTTTTAAGTAATAGTAAATCGCTTAAGTAGAGATAGGGAAAATTCTCCTCTATCAAAATAAGTCCTCACAATTTATTTTTAATTGTAAATATTTGTTAAATAATTAATTGATCTTCATCTTTTACCTCAGTTTAAAGATAGTAAGTGGACTTGAAAATACTAATAATTTTAGTTGAGGTTACAAATGGCATCCGTTCCTAACTATGTCTTTAAGAAATTGTAGGTCAGTCAGAACAGGTATGTACAGTTCTTATTTAGCCTTACTGTAGTTCAAAGAAGACTTGAAGCCTTTTCAGTGATTTCTAAGCTGCCCATGTAGCAAGTGAAGGTGATTGTGATGAAGAATTTATTGCGAGTAAGGGAGTTGATTGAGTCATTTCAAAGTGAGAGCATATTTACATAACATTAAAGGGAAAGGACAGGTTATCTTTAAGTGGACATTCTTAACCAGGGTACTGCCTGCATATGCAAATACATAATTTGATATATAATCATTGTAACATAAAATTGATAAAATACTATATAAAATACTCTTCTTATACTCTAGGGAGCTCTGGTGGCATAGTGCCTAAGGCATTTGACTACTAACCAGAAGGCTAGTGGTTCAAACTCCCCAACCACTCCTTGGAAGGAAGATTGGGCAATCTACCCATAGAGATATCGCCTCGGAAACCCAAGGGGGGGTCTCTATGAGTCGAATTGACTCAATGGCAGTAGGTTTTTTTGTTACCTTAAGGTCTAACTTTTCAATTTTCTTTTTATTCTTTCCATGGTATATAAAGTATAAATCCAAGCCATTCTGTGAAAAGCTACTTTCCTGGGTAAAGAGTAGTAACTGTGCCAGAGTTATTGTTCTTTCAAGCAGTCATTCGTATCACCGCAATGATCTGCAGCTTTGCAGGTATGTTCTTGCCTTTGAAATTTATTTTTGTTATAGTTTATACAAAGTTGTTATAATTTCACTATTAAAAAGTTACATGGTGTTTTTAAAAGCCGTTTGCATCCTTACCTCTCCTCACTGGAATTTAGAAAGAGACAGGTGATAGAAAATCAAGAGGTAAAAGGGAGTGCAGTTGGGTAGTTAGTTGGGGCATAGAAAAGACTTTGGTGTAAGGATAGAAATGGTTCTGGAACATGCTTTATTGCTTGGTATGACACTTTAGGATATACATGGCAACATTGCAGAGCTCAGCTGATGAAGAGAAAGGGGCCTAGTTAATAATAGTACCCAAGATTTCTTGCTTGATAATTTTGGAAGATGGATTGATATTTTTACTTCCATATATGAATTGTCAGTGTTACAGAAACCCACCTTCTTCTAAGTTAGCATTGTGAGAATGAATTCGTAAATGTAAGACAAAGTAACCAAGAGATAGAAATATATTTTGTTGCATTATCAATTATACACCTATCTTAGTTATTTTAGTGTTGCTATATAACAGAAATACCGCAAGTAGCTGGCTTTAACAAACAAATTTATTTCCTTACAGTTTGTTGTTGTTATGTGCCATCGAGTCGGCCCCGACTCATAGCAACCCCTCCTTGGGTTTCTGAGGCAGTATCACTACAGAAGTAGATTGCCCAACCTTCCTTCCGAGGAGTGGCTGGTGGGTTTGAACCGCCAGCCTTCTGGTTAGCAGTCAAGTGCCTTAGGCACTGTGCTACCAGAGCTCCTTCCTCACAGTTTAGGAGCCTACAAGTTTAGATTCAGGGTGCTGGCTCTAGAGGAAGGTGTAATCTTTTTGTTGGCCCTGGGGAAGGTCTTTGTCTGTTCAACTTGTTACCTTATTCCTTGGAGATCTCCATGTGTCTTGGCATCAATCTTCCCTCATCTCCTTGCTAGTTTTCTTGTTTAATCTCTTTTATATCTCAAAAGAGGTTGACTAAAGATACACCCTACATGAATCCTATGTCATTAGCATAGCAAAGACTACCCATTCCCAAATGGGATTGTAACCACAGGCATAGAAGCTAGGATTTATAACACATATTTTTGGGGTATTCAGTTCAACCCATTAACAATACTTATAAAATCAGGATTAAAAATGACCATAAGCTAAGAGTTTGAAAACTAGAGCTAATTTTTAGGAATCCCACAGTAGACACTCCAGGCGGTTTCCTGTTTATTTAGACTCTCTCCTAAGTAAGTAAATAGCACACTAGAGCAATATTTTTTTAATATGTTGTTCCTTCTTCTGTTTTGCTTTGGGCAACTGTATATGTGGATATCAAGATTATTTTACCTAAAAGAACTGATATTTGCCTGATGGATGAGTTTTTTAACTCATGTGATTGTTTCTAGTACTCCCTTTCGCTACCTACTTACACCTTCCATGCAAAAAAGTGTTCAGAATAAAATAAATAGCCTTAACTGGGAAGAAATGGAAAAAAGCCAGTGCATTCCAGGAATTGAAGATTCTGAGTTATGTGTCCGTATCCCTGGAGGAGGTATCACAAAAATACTCTATGAGGAAAGGTAAGTTGGATTGCCTGCTTGCCTATTTGTTTCCTACCTTGATTAAAAATGAAATCAAGATCATTAGGTGTATTGGATTACTGAGCAAAACATTAAAAATATATATTTATGAACACGTACTATATTATTATTAGGTACTATGTGATTATGTAGGAGCTCTGGAAGCTTAGTGCCTAAGTTACTTGACTGCTAACCAGAAGGCTGGCAGTTCAAACCCACCAGCCACTCCTCGGAAGGAAGATGGGGCAATCTACTTCCGTAGTGATACTGCCTCAAAAACCCAAGGAGGGAGGGGTCGCTCTGAGTCGGGTCCGACTCAACGGCACATAACAACAACAACAACAACAACAACAACAACATGATTATGTTAGAGTTCTAGAGCACAAAATAGTGCTTAAAAGGAATCTCTACACAGACCGAGAGACAGTAGTTGAAATAGAACAAAAGGATACTGGACCATTTAAAATCAGGAAAAGTATGTACAAAAAGGGTTGTATCCTTTCACCATATTTATTCAGTCTGTATGCTAGGCAGATAATCTGAGAAGGTGGGCTATATGAAGAAGAATGTGTCATCAGGATTGAGGGAAGACTCGTTAACAACCTACAATATGCAGGTGACACAGCCTTACTTGCTTGGCTTCAGGATGGATTACATCTCAACATAAAACAAAAATCCTTACAACTGGACCAGTAAGCAACATCATGATTAACAGAAAAGATTGACATTTTCAAGGATTTCATTTTACTTGGATCCATAATCATTGCCTCTACAAGCAACAGTCAAGAAATCAAACAACACATTGCATTGGGCAAATCTGCTGTAAAAGATTTTAAAGTGTCAAAAACCAAAGATGTTACTTTGAAGGCTAAGGTGCACCTGACCCAATCCATGGTATTTTCAGTTGCCTAAAAGAGCTCTGGTGGCGTAGTGCTTAAGGCATCTGACTGCTAACGAGGAGGATGGCAGTTCAAACCCACCAGCCACTTCACTGAAAGAAGACTGGGCAATCTACTTCCATAAAAATTGACCACCTCAGAAAACCAGAGGGAGTCACTATGAGTTGGAATTGACTCAATCGCAGTGAGGGTTTTTTTTTTTTTTTTTTTGGTAACACACATGCAAAAGCTGGACAATGCATGAGGAAGACCAAAGAATTAATGCATTTGAATTACGGTGTTGATGAAGAATATTGAGTATACCATGGACTGCCAGAAGAACGAATAAATCTGTCTTGGAAGTACAGCAAGAATGTTCCTTAGACTTTGTCTCTTTTACTTTGGTCATGTTATCAGAAGGGACCAGTCCCTGGAGAAGGATAACATTATTGGTAAAATAGAGAGTCAGTGAAAAAGAAGATGATCTTCAATGAGATGGATTGACACATTGGCTGCAACAATAAGATCAAGCATAACAGTGATTGTGAAGATGGCACAGAATTGAGTAATGTTTATTCTGTGTATATAGGGTCACTATGGGTCACAACCTACTCACAATACCTAACAACAACATATTAGACTGTGCATTCAGGGAAAAAATTTAAATTTGGTTGTAAAAGAATTGGCTCTTGAAAATCTGTGTTTAATGCTTTGTTAATTAAAATACGACATTTTACAGATTCTGATCTTTATTCCATGCAGCCTCTACAATCACTCTTAATTGTTGTTGTTGTTATGTGCCATCGAGTCAGACCCGACTCATAGCGACCCCTCCTTGGGTTTCCGAGGCAGTATCACTACGGAAGTAGATTGCCCCATCTTCCTTCCGAGGAGTGACTGGTGGGTTTGAACCGCCAGCCTTGTGGTTAGCAGTCAAGTGCCTAGGCACTATGCTACCAGAGCTCCCCACTCTTAATTAGCCTTAGAAATTGTCCATTTGAAGACAGCAAGTTAAAGTAAAGATGGAAATTAGTTGAAGACAGCAAGTTAAAGATGGAAATTAGAGATCTTTTCACAAAATGTTTGCCAATTCAGCACTTTCTACGTGCACAATTCGATGACACTGAGTACATTCTTCATGTTGTGCAACCCTTATCCCTTTCTTTTTCCTAATTATTTTACCATAGTTGACATAAACTCAGTGCCCACAAGCAAAAACTTGTTTGTTCCCCTTCCTCCCACACCTGTTAACTACTAATAAACTTTGATTTTTGTACCAAACCCAAACCCACTGCTATTGAGTCAATTCCGACTCATAGCAACACTATAAAACAGAGTAGAACTGCCCCCATAGGGTTTCTAAGGCTGTAAATCTTTACGGAATCAGACTACCTCAGCTTTCTCCCACCTCAGCTTTCTCCCACCTCATCTTTTTCCTGCCTCATCTTTTTCCTTTGGAGTGACTGGTGGGTTCAGACCTCTGACATTTTGGTTAGCAACTGAATGCTTTAACTACTGTGCTACCAGAGCTCCCTTAGGTTTCTACTGTATATTTGCTTATTTCATGTAAGTGAAGTCATACGATGTTTGTCCTTTTGTGACTGACAGTTCATTCAGCATAATGTCTTCAAGGTTCATCCATCCTACAGCATGTATTGGGACTTAATTTCTCTTTGAAGCTGAGTAATAGTCCATTGTATGTATATACCACATGTTGTTTATTCACTCATGTGTTGAAGGACATTTAGGTTGTTTTTACCTTTTGGCTATTGTAAAAAGTGCTATAGTGAACATTGGTATATAGATTTCTATTTGTGTTCCTGCCTTCACGTCTTTTGAGTGATTACCGGGAATTGACAATGCTAGATCGTAACAGTAGTTCCGTATTAAACCTTTGGAGGAAGTGCCAGACTGTTTTCCACAGTGTTGTACCATTTTGCATTCCCACCAGGAGTTGATGAGGGTTCCATTTACTCCACATTCTCACAAACAACCTGTGTTCTGTTTTTCTTTTTTTTTTAATCAATGCCACTTCAATGGAGGTGAGGTGCTATTTCATTGTTCTTTTGATTTGCATTTCCTTGATGGCTATAGGAACTGCTCTGATGATGCTCTGGTTAAAGCATTGGACTATCAGTCACAGAAGGACAAATATTGTATTAGTCCGTTATTGTAAAAAGTCAAGGAAATGTTTATATATGGAAGGAAATTCTCTTTATTGGTTACCGGTATGGGAGAAGGGAGGGAACACTATTAGGTAGGTAGAGACAAGTATTGATTTGGGTGAAGAAAAGGGCAATGCACCAAATGTGAGTGATCAACATGGTGGCATTGATTGAGAGAAAGATATAGAGAAGTGCATGGGAGGTATAGAAAAGATGAACCCTTTTGCACATACACTACTGCGATGTCAGTGAAGGCAAACATGGATGTACGGGTGGATAGATGGCTGGACAGGTATGTCTATGCAGCAGGGAGTATGCCCAAGACCATGTATAGGGTTAGCAGACAATATTTCTACAAGTATATTGGTATGTTTTATAAGAATTCCCAGGTATATAGTAGAGCTGACAAGGGACAAGGTTGTAGTCACTTCTTGGCCACAGCCAACTTCCCAGAGGGAAGTTGTACCTTGAGCGAGTAGTTGTACCTTGGGCTCAGGACCATAGTCTCGGGAGACAGCAAGCTCAATTGGCATAACATACTACACAAAACATTGTCCCACATCCTACTTTGGTGAGTAGTGACTGCGATCTTAAAAGCTTACAAGTGGCCATATAGATGCAACAATGGGTCTCTCCTCATCCAAAGCAAAGATTCATGGAAACAATTAGTCCAAGTGACTGGTATACCATTCTATCCTTAGCCCATATGACTCTGAGACCAGAGGAACTAGATGGTGCCTGGCTACCACTGTCAACCACTCGGAGGGGTATCTCTATAGGAGATCCTGGATAGAGTGGGAGAATAATGTGGAACTCAAAAATCATTTGGGGAGAAAAAAAAAAGGAACCAGATTTTCTGGTATGATAGAAACTGATGGAACCACTGAGACTATGGCCCCTAGCTGCCCTTCAAGTCTGGAATTGAACCCACTCCTGTGGCTTCCAGCCAAACAAAAGACAGGCATAATGAGCTGAACGCTCCCGAGACCACGTATATGTGGTTGGCAGACGATGGTTGGTCCTGCGAGTGTTATTTGTGTGATCTGTAAGAATGCCCAGGTGTCTGGGAGAGCTGACAAGGGACAAGGTTGTAGTCTCTTCCCGGTCACAGCCAGCTGCCCAGAGGGACCGAGCAGCTGAACCTGTGGGCTCGGACGGGATCGCTGTCCGTCACAGCAGACGTGGCGCTCAGCAGATGTGGCGCTCAACCGGCATCACGTAAGACCCACAACATCCATCGCTCCACCTCCTACTTTGGCGAGTGGCGACCGGGATCTTAAAAGCTTGCAAACGGCCATCTAGATGCCACGATGGATAGATAGGCCTCTCCTCGTCCAGACCCAAGAAGAATGAAGAAAAGCAAAGATTCACAGAAACCATTGGTCCCTGCTGGTCCGGTCGAGCATTTACATTAGGTAGATGCAGAAGATGGGGCAATCTACTTCTGTAGTGATACTGCCTCGGAAACCCAAGGCGGGGTCTCTATGAGTCGGATCCGACTCGACGGCACATAACAACATAACAACAACAGATGCAGAGAGGTACACTCCTTGGAGAGAACAATCATGGGAGAATAGAAGGGCTGTATATGTTCAGGGAAATAGCTCAGAGGGCAGGAGTGCATGGAGGGAAGGACAGAAGGAAGAAGTAACTGTGGGGAGGAAGTAGGATGGGAGTAGTTGCATGTGGTAAATTGTAGTCAGTGTCATGAGACAAAGTGTATGTGAGCTGCTGTATGGAAAGTGAATTTGCTCTGTAAACTTTCACCCAAATCACAATTTAAAATATATATAAATATATATATATGTGTGTGTGTGTATATATATATATATATATATATGGAGACGACATTGAAAGCATGGTAACTGCATATTGAATAGATGCAATGCTTTCAAAATAATTTTCTAATTTCATTTATTGTTAAACATGAATAAAGCAAAGCCATTTTATGTTATTA